CCATTTCCCTCTCCTAGCAAATTTCATTTCAGTAAAAGGCACCACTATCAACTGTAAGGTCAAAAGGTTAGATCTGATCCTTGATTCTTTCATAATGTATTCTTATATCCACTTCCTGAGCAAATACTGTTGGTTCAATTTTCTAAATTTATCAACTGCTACCACCTTAGATGAAATCACTATTATCTCTTGCCTAGACTACTGCAATGGCCTCCTAAATGAAACTCCCACGTGTGGGGCAAAAATGAACTATATAGTCCATCTTCCATAAGGCAGTCCAAAATATTTTAAGATTTATGATATACTGTTTCTCTATAGCTTAAAAACTTTCAAACCAAAGCTTTCTTATAGTTTCTCACTGTAAGAAAGACTGTATAGTCCATTGACAATCAAGTTCAATTTCCCTTTTTTCTTCAAGGGTCTACCTAATATGGTCTCTGTCTACCTCTCATATCTGCTGCTTCTCAGGAACAATACATTTGTCTCCTGACATCCTTGGGGGATTTGTTCTAGCACCTCACCATCCCCCCCCCCCCCACCTGCTACAGCTATCAACACCTACAGATGCTTAAGTCCCTTATATAAAATGGCACAGTATTTGCATAAAACCTACACACATTGTTATTACAGGGTGCAAAAGTACATCATTATTGTAATTTAAATGTTGTACACAAGACACACTTTGGTTTTACTTTACACTTTTACTAAATGATCTATTCCCTATCCCAAAGCAAACATGGATAAAATTAAATGTTAAAAAAAAAAAAACTCAAGAAAAAAAATATCATCTGTAGTACAACGTAAATACTATGAATAGTTTCTGGTATACAACAAATTCAAGTTTTGCTTTTTGGAACTTTCTGGAAATATTTTTTTTTCAAATATTTTTGCTCCATCTTTGGTTGAATCCACAAATACAGAATCCACAGACATGGAGGGTCAACTATATCAGACCCAGGAAGACACTGAGACAGACTGCCAAAGTCCTAAGGAAAAACAATTATAATTTAGGGTTCAACATCCAGCCACTGTAATATTCCTTAGTGACTGCAAAAAAGGCATTTCCTAACATACAAGGACTCAGAAAGCTCATCACCCAAGGAACCTCTCTGAGACACCTACAGAAGAGAGACAGCGTGAAAAACAACCTAAATTCCTCTCTTCAAACAAAGGAATCACAAAAAATGTGATGTAAGCAGTAACATGATCAAATAAGCCAATAAAGTATTTTAAATCTAAATAAACACAGACAGTAGAAAATAATACCTTAAATAACAGACAAGTGAAATTTCTAACGACACTGGCACAGAGTGGAAGAAGAGGAAATAAAAGTTTGCTAAGATTCTGATCTTTCTCAAATAGAAGAGGAAAAATACTAATTAACTTTTTCTACTAAGAAAAATATGTTATTTAAACTTTTTAAGGGTAAGTAGAAGGCAGCGGTAAATGTGAACTGGTTAAACTTCTTTACTGTATGAGAAAGTGTCTCATACTGAATTTTAAAAATTACAAAGCAAAACCCAGTGTATGTTAGTTATAGCAGATAAAATAAAGAACAAACAATAGAGCCTTAATATCTAGAAAGCAAAAACACAATTACAAGAAAAAATTACAAGAAAAGTCTACATTCAAAGAAAAAGGAACTGGCACTTTAAAGTGCCTGGATAAATCAGGCTAGGAAAAAAATAGAAAAGAGTAGAACGTTTGCATAATACAATTACAGTAAAAGTCCAAAAGGGTTTCAAAAAATTTTAATATAAAGTCATAAAGGTCACATCTATTAACCATAAAGCAATATAACTGGGACTAAACTTTTTTTATAAAGATTAAAAATTCAATATCCAAGTAAACTGAAATAGTAAGAACTCCTATATAAATATAAATGAAAACCTGTGAATGAGAATTATAAAATCTTGAACCAAAACAATGCAAGCACATACCACACATGTAAGATGTAACCAAATGATAATCAGAAAAAATTTATATGCTATAATGTATTATATTAAAAATTAAGAAAAGCTAAAACTTCAAGAACTTACAGAAGTGATAAACTGTTAATTATGACACAGGGGAAAAAAAAGAAAACACAGGTTCCAGGAGAACTAAACTACTTAAATGTTGGCTTAACACTGAAATAAACCAGTTAAGGATGGAACAAAATAAAATTTTAGGTCAATCTTATTAGATGGTACAAAAAATGGTAAAGACAAGATTTTCTATTTGAATCTACCAATGTATTAAAATACTAAGTGAGATTTATGTCAGAATGCAAGCTGTTCAGTTGCTCAGTTGGGTCCAACTCTTTGCAACCCCACAGACTGCAGCACGCCAGGATTCCCTGTCCTTCACCATCTCTTGGAGCTTGCTCAAACGCATATCTATTAAGTCAGTGATGCCATCCAACCATCTTGTCCTCTGCTGAACCCTTCTCCTTTTGCCTTCAATCTTTCCCAGCATCAGGGTCTTTTCCAATGAGTTGGCTCTTCCCATTAGGTAGCCAAAGTACTGGAGCTTCAGCTTCAGTTCTTCCAATGAACATTCAGAATTGATTTCCTTTAGGATTGACTAGTTTGATCTCCTTGATGTCCCAGGTGTGCTCAAGAGTCTTCTCCAACACGACAGTTGGAAAGCATCAATTCTTCGAGAATCAACCTTCTTTATGGCCCAAATCTCACATCCTTATATGACTACTGGAAAAACCATAGATTTGACTAGAAGGACCTTTATTGGCAAAGTAATGTCTCTGCTTTTTAATATGTTGTCTATGTTGGTCATAGTTTTTCTTCCAAGGAGCAAGCGTCTTTTAATCTCATGGCTGCAGTCAACATCGAGAGTGATTTTGGAGCCCAAAATAATAGTCTGTTTCCATTTTTCCCCATCTATTTGCCATGAAGGGATGGGACTGGATGCCATGATCTTAGCTTTTTGAATGTTGAGTTTTAAGCCACCTTTTTCACTCTCCTCTTTCACTTTCATCAAGAGGCTCTTTACTTCTTCACTTTCTGCCCTAAGGGTGGTGTCACCTGCATATCTGAGGTTACTGATATTTCTCCCAGCAATCTTGACTCCTGTGCTTCATCCAGTCAGGCATTTTTCATGATGTACTCTGCATATAAGTTAAATAAGCAGGGTAACAATATACAGCCCTGACCTACTCCTTTCCCAAGTTGGAACCAGTGCGTCGTTCCTTGTCCGGTTCTAACTGTTGCTTCTTGACCTGCATACAGATTTCTCAGGAGGCAGGTAAGGTGGCCTGGTACTCCCATCTCTTTCAGAATTTTCCAGTTTGTTGTGATCCACACAGTCAAAGGCTTTAGGCACAGTCAATGAAGCAGAAGCAGATCTTTTTCTGGAATTCTCTTTCTTTGCTATGATCCAAGGAATACTGGCAATTTGATCTCTGGTTCTTCTGCCTTTTTAAAATCCAGCTAAATGTTAGAGAACCGATCAACCTAGCAGTTCCTGTTTGGGGTTTTAAAGATGAATCTTTACGCTTTTTCCCTTCTAAACTCTAAATAAATAATACAAATGGAGCTAAAAGGGCTTGGTCCCACAAGGACAAAAGGGACAGAGTAACAACTGGAGAGTTCAATAAATATTCAGAAGAGTAAAAGCAGCAGAAGGACAATTGATTTAGCAGCCTACTATAGGAACCACAGTATAAGGAGTGAATGAAAGAGAAAGAAACAAGAACTGACTCTTCCTTAAAAAAAACAAAAATCGTAGAAGAATCTTACAACTAGGAAATGTCAAGTATAAAGACCTCATATATTAAGTAATATTTTTGTGGAAATTTTTATTTTATACTGTGGAAAATAAAGTGTGGCACTCGGAGCCACTTCTGAGTTCTCTAAAGTCATTTAATTTTGTTGAGACACTATTTCTCCACCAGGTATTTGGATATAATAGTTATTGCCCTGTGCAAGCTTCAGAGGGATTTAGAGAAAGGAAATGATTGCTGAGCCTTCCAAAATGTAAAAAAAAAAAAAAAAGAGAGAGAGACATCACATAGAAGAGAATGATTCCTACCTACCCCACCTGGCTTCCCAGGTGGCACAGTGGTAAAGAATCTGCTTCCCAGGATAGGAGACAGAGGAGACGTGGGTCCAATCCCTGGGTTGGGAAGATCCCCTGGAGAAGGAAATCACAACCCATTCCAGTCTTCTTGCCTGGAAAATTCCATGGACAGAAGAGCCCAGAAGACTACAGTCCATGGCATTGCAAAGAGTTGGACACAATTGAGCAATTGCACATGCATAACACCCTACCTTTCTACTACAATGCATCTACACCCCCTCTATGCACACACCTTGAGTACTACTGCTATCAAGCAAGCTTCTGTCAAAAAAATTTAAGGTTTATCCTCTGGAGAAGTTAAATGAGAGAGGATTGGAATTTGAAGATAAAGATATAGGAAAAGGGATGAGGTTGAAAACGAACAGATTTAACATAAAGCTTTAAACACCAGAAATGCCTCAAGATGTGCATCCCTCTCTAAGAAAGGTAATTCAAGCTTTAGTTTCTAAATGGTCCTGGAGAACAGAACCCCAAAAATATTTGGGAATCTCTCTGAGCCACCAGAGCCACAGCAGCTAAAAAGCCCACTTCCTTGCACAATTATCCTAAAATAATTTTGCTATCAAGCTCCATCCATGCACAATGAATTTATAATCAGCTCTGAAATATCCAACTTTTTAATATAAACAAACAGAATCAATCCTTTGCAATTTAATTGCTGCTATGAAGACAACTAAATCCCATTTTACTATCACCCTATTAAATGCATATCTATAGAGTAGTTTTGAGCCATTCCCCCCTAATTATCCTCTGTGCAACTGGTATACTTCCAAATTTTAGGTCTCCTCACAGATTAAGAAAAGAAAGAGAACAAGGAAGATCTCAGGCAATTCAAAAACAAGAAATTCTCTCATAACGCACACCTGAACACAAAAGTTAGGGTAAATTAACATAAAAATTTCAAATTCAATGAAAGATCTTACTTGTTTATCTTTTCTTTCTATAACATCTTGCTTATGTTTGCACTTTTGAGATGTCTCCTTAATAGCTAATGCCTGCAAAATTGAATCAAAAGAAGGGAAGTTAGTTAAAAAAAAAAAAAGCAAGGCAATTCTGTGACCCTGCTCATCCAAATATAAAATTGCTCTGTAAGTTTACCCACAATGCTCTTCTATGATTTCTTTCAAAGTAAATTCATTATCACCCAAAATACAAACAATTACTTGAAAATTTATGAAAGGTTATTCCTACAGATATTAAAAGTAGTTGCAGCTATATGCATACATATGTTTATACATTTCTTCACATTTATTTCCTCATGGTATTTTATCCTAAAAGCAATAATACAGAATAGCAGGGTCCATAGTTTAAAACACTCTCAAAACAATTATGTGATTCCAAAATCTTCCCTAAAGGTTAAAAGCTATGATTGCAAAATTTTTAGTTACGTTTTCAAGGTATATAGAGAATATTCCATTATATTATTTATTCTAAAAAACATGAGGTTTTTTACATTACGTTCCTACAAAAGGGGATGTAATTATATAACATGTATGAGAAATTCACAAAAGGAGATCAATGTTTCTAGGAATATTGCTCTGAATCCTCCTGTAATTAGAACAATCACATTTCATTTCTCTCTTTTTATATCTTGAAATTTCTATAGAGTAGCAAGTTCCTATAAAGTAGCAAGTGATGATTAGGATCTTGAAAGACGTATGGTAGTAGAATTCCTAACATATAAGAACTTAAAGAACTAAAGTTACAAGTAAATCCACAAACATTACAAAACCTACAAAATATTTTTTATATTTGCTAAAATAAATGACAAGAAATCCAAAACTGAACCAGAAATATAACCTTCTCTTTGATTCGAGCCTCCAAACTGTGACGCTGCCTTTCCATTTCTTCAATGCGTTCTGTTATAGGAATCTGACTTTCTTTAAGTTTTCTGACCTCTTCCTTTGCTTGGTCCCGAGCTAGTTTTACTTCTTCATATTCCTGACGAACATTTTCATATTCCTTACAATGAATTCAAGAAAGAAAAGTTAATATACTCTTTGCTTAAAGTAACATAAAATCAAGCTATAGGCAGAAACCAAATCTATGAAAAAGACAATTTTTAATCCCTTTAGGAGGTCTACTAATAAAAAAAAATTGCCCTCTGAAACAACTTCAGAAATAGTAAATATCAAATGATGATGAACTCAGTGATACTCACTGCAGACTTAAATCATTAGGCCAGATTCTGTCTTCCATCCCTTCCTGTTTCTGAGACATATATCCTAATAACTACTAAAGGGAGGATCTCCTCTAATCTCTCAATAATGAAGGGATTCAAAACTTGTAAAGAACCAAAAGAAACTCACTTATGAAAAATTTTTAAAAACCAAAAAGGAAAATGGTTCAACAGAAAAACAAAACGAATCATCCAGGTGAAAATGATGCTTGTCACATCACAGGAATAAATAAATATTTGCTAAAAAAAAAAAAAATAAAGTGCTAAGAAAGCATATAGTAAGAATGAATGGGATGAAGAAAGCTAAAAAAAAAAATAATACAAATAAACATTACAGATAACTGAGAAAACAAGAGCAGTAAAAGGCAAAGGAGAAAAGAAAAGATATATCCATCTGAATGCAGAGTTCCAAAGAATAGCAAGAAGAGCTTAAGAAAGTGAACAATGCAAAGAAGTAGAGGAAAACAACAAAATGGGAAAAACTAGAGATTTCGTCAAGAAAATTAGAGATACCAAGTGAACATTTCATGCAAAGATGGGCACAATAAAAGAGCAGAAAAAGTATGGACCTAACAGAAGTAGAAATATTAAGAGGAGGTAGCAAGAATACACAAAACTATACAAAAAAGGTCTTAATGACTCAAACAACCAAGACAACATGATCACTCACCTAGGGCCAGACATCTTGGAGTGTGAAGTCAAATGGGCCTTAGGAAGCATTACTAGGAACAAAGCTAGTGGAGGTGATGCAATTTCACTGAGCTATTTCAAATCCTAAAAGATGATGCAGTTAAAGTGCTGCACTCAATATGCCAGCAAATTTGGAAAACTCAGCAGTGGCCACAGGACTGGAAAAGCTCAGTTTTCATTCCAATCCCTAAGAAGGACAATGCCAAAGAACGTTCAAACTACCACACAATTGCACTCATTTCACATGCTAGCAAGGTAATGATCAAAATCCTCCAAGCTAGGCTTCAACAATATGTGAACTGAGAACTTCCAGATGTACAAGCTGGATTTAGAAAAGGCAGAAGAACCAACATCAAATTGCCAACATCTGATGGATCACAGAAAAAGCAAGGGAATTTCAGAAAGACATCTATTTCTGCTTCACTGACCATGCTAAAGTCTTTGACTGTGCGGATCACAACAAACTGGAAAACTCTAAAAGAGAAGGGAATACCAGACCACTGAGAAATCTGTATGCAGGTCAAGAAGCAACAGTTAGAACTGGACATGGACAACAGACTGGTTCCAAATTGGGAAAGGAGTACATCAAAGCTGTATATTGTCACCTTGCTTATTTAACTTATATGCAGAGTACATCATGTGAAATGTTGTGCTGGATGAAGCACAAGCTGGAATCAAGACTGCCAGGAGAAATATCAATAACCTCAGATACACAGGTGACACCACCCTTATGGCAAGAAAGCGAAGAGGAACTAAAAAGCCCCTTGATGAAGGTAAAAGAGGAAAGTGATAAAGCTGTTTTAAAACTCACCATTCAGAAAACTAAGATCATGGCATCTGGTCTTCATGGCAAATAGATGGTGTCAAAATGGAAACAGTGACAGTTTATTTTCTTGGGCTCCAAAATCACTGTGGACAGTGACTGAAGCCATGAAATTAAAAGATGCTTGCTCCTATGATAAACCTAGAAAGTGTATTAAAAAGCAGACACATCACTTTGCCAACAAAGGTTCATAAATTCATAGCTATGGTTTTTCCACTAGGCATACGGATGTAGAGTTGGACTTAAATAAGTCTAAGTGCCAAAGAACTGATGCTTTCAAACTGTGGTGCTGGAGAAGACTCTTGAGAGTCCCTGGGACAGCAAGGAGATCAAACCAGTCAATCCTCAAGGAGATCAACCCTGATTTTTCATTGGAAGGACTAATGCTGAAGCTTCAATACTCTGGCCAGCTGAGGCAAAGAGTCAACTCAATGGAAAAGACCTGGATGCTGTGAAAGATTAAAGACAGTAGAAGGGGACAACAGAGGATGAGATGGTTGAATGGCATTACTGATTCAACGGAGATGAGTTTGAGCAAACTCTGGGAGATGGTCATGGACAGGGAAGCCTGGCATGCTGCAGTCCATGGGATCACAGTCAAACACAACTAAGCAACTGAACAACAATAAACATTATAGGAAATCAAAAAAGGAAATACTGAAAAATCATTAAACTCAATCTTTAAAGGGAGAAATCAAAAGACTTCAAAGTACAAAGATAAAACAGGTGTCAGAATAATAATAAACATAGGAAAAAACATTATGAAATTGAGCTGAAAAAGAAAGAAAAAGTTTAAGAAAAATGGAATTACAGAAAAGGATATGGTGAAATGGGTGGGACAGGCTGAATCAGGTCTGCCATACATTTTTCCAATCTAATAATTATTTCCATCCTGGCATTAAAAATATTATTAAACTTTCTTATTTTTGTTCCACCCACTGAAAAATAATGTATTGAGGGAAATGAATTTTTGACCCAAACTACGGTTCCAAATCATATACATTACAGTGATTAAAACAGTAAACTCAGTAAACTTATGAACCATAATGAGTAGAAGATTACAGTTAATATCCTTCAGCTCTGTCTGTAGCTGAAGCTGATATCAGTAGCACACTCCAAGTAAATTTTCAGTGACCCGAGGACATTTCATTTTTACATATGTACATATTTTTAGCTCATTAATATTTTATAAAACAAAACTATCTGTTGACTCAATTCTGGAAGAATTAAGGACAAAGACTAAAATCAACTGTTACCTGTTATGCAATAACAATAACATAGCACAGTTACAAAATAACACAGAGACAGATAAATATTACTATGCACGATATACAAAGCAAAAATGAACAACAGCACCTAATTTAAGTATTTAGTGTCTCCTTTATAATTTTCCTGATACTTAAAGAATCACTATTTTACTTTAGTAACTCAGACTTACCACCCACGGCCTTTTTGCTTCAAGCATCTCAATCAAATCTAAATGTCGCTTACGTTCATAGAACCTGTCCACATCTTGTTTATATCTTTCATTCCTCTGAATCATTTTCTCTAGATATTCAGTTTTCTCTTTGCATGAGGTCTAAAATAAATATTCATTTAACAATTAGCTTAATCAAAGAAAGACAAAAGGTCAAATCTTTTTATAATGAAAAATGTATAGTGCTAGCAAAATTTCACAATAAGAGTTCTTAAGAACTGTGTAAAACTAAAGTGCACACCTGAGTTCTGGTCTAGGCTCTACTATTTATCAATTATGAGACCATGAGGAAGCCCTGCCACATCTCTAAGCTTGGACTCTTCTTGACTCTAGAGAAGAGAGATATCTGCCCCATTTATCTCACTGGTAGGAGCTACTCAACTTACTACAGGTGAAAGCTCAAAAGCTGTTACATGACATAGAGAAAAGTGATATTATTATTAGTATGTTATGAATACCCATGACTGAAGGACTTAGAAATGAGATAAAGGAAAGCTAAAATCTAGCCTTTATCTTGTGAATTAACAAACAGGTAAAATGTACTCAGAATCTAGAAGAATATGTGCTTGTTTTCTTTCAGAAGTTGGTAGGTAGTTACAGTGTTTCAGAGGGGAGTATTAGATGATTTGATGTGGGGAAAAATAAAAGGACTGACAGGGGGATCTAAAGTAGGACTAAAATAATTACAACTTCTTTGGTCATTCACTCTGAATAAGTATAACAATAACAATAGCATTAGATCAGAACAAATCACATTTATCAAGTACAGGTAGTTACAGTTTGTGTGTGCTTAGTCACTTCAGTTGTGTACAACTCTCTGCAATCTCATGGACTGCAGCCCAGCAGTCTCCTCTGTCCACAGGATTTTTCAGGGAAGAACACTGGGGTGGGTTGCCCTGCCCTCCTCCAGGGGCTCTTTCCAGCCCAGGGATCAAACCTGCACCTCCTGCACTGCAGGCAGATTCCTTACTAATGAGCCCCCAGGAAGTGCCAGTTACAGTTTAAAAGGAAGCATTTATTTACTAGATTTCTCATTACTAAAATGTACTGAATTAATTTTAGCTGTTGAATTATGGAAAATGATTCATTAAATAAACATCTTTTAATGTGATATACTATAAAAGGACATTTAAATTTATTTATTAAAGGTGAAAATAAGAATCAAACACTGCAACTAAATGTACAGTTGTTTTTTTTTTACAAAGTCTATCCTCACAACTGAATACAGTATAATAACAGGCTCAACAGAGTGCTATATATATGCTGTATTACCCAAAACCCTATACAGTACCTGACATATCACAGGTATTTAGTAAACACTGAATGAATAAAAGAATAACATTGAAACTTCCTGAGAAAAAAGTACTTTGTAATACTATAAATTGGCTCTTTAGAAATTCAATTAATAATATATATTTGATGACATGATAGTCAAAACTTTATATCAAAGCCATTCTTACTTTTTAGTAACCTAATTTAATTACTGAAAATCCTTGCTGAAAAAAAATCACAAATATATGAATTCACCCAATGAACTATTATTTACTGGCATTGAAAGACAATAAAATGAGTTGACTGTAAATTACCTCTAGTTGTTTTTCTTTCTCCCTGAAATTTTTGAGTTCACAGTGGTATTTGTGCATTTCTGGAGGACCAATTGACTTCTCGGTAGCTTCAAGGAGTTCAATTTTACTGAGTTTAGCAAATTCTCCAACTTTATCCTAGAGACAAAACTTAAATATCAACTAATATTATCATTTACAAAAATCTTCCAAACATTTTTCACTCGATGATACTTGTCAAGAAGAAACTGATTCAAAAGAAAAAAAAACTTTTGAGATATGAATCTTAAATAAATCCTATCCTTTGATATATTATTCTTTAAAATAATAAACTTAGGGTATAAACTACCATCTTTTTGAGAACTTTAAAAAAATTTCAATGTCACTATTTCCAGGTTGAAACTTTTATATACATTTAACAGTTTCGAAATAAAAAATACTGCCCTGGATTGAAATGATCATTACCACATGTCAATCAGAATGAAATTATCAGATGAAGACAGCCTCAAATCAGCTGATAAATGCTTTCAAATTTTAACTTTTACTTAACTTGGACACAGTAATCAAATCACCACTGTTTCTGAAGAAAAAAACGAATTCAGTCACTAGAATAACATCCAAAGGCAAGTCTAAAAGATATTTGATTTTAATATTCAACATGGAATATCAAGATGTTTTATTTTTTTTGAACAGATTTAAAAATATAAAATGTTTCTAGAGGCATACACATAGATTTAAGAGTCTTGGTATATAAAGTATTTTTACAAATACACTGATTAAGAAGTTGTTTATTAACACAATTTTAAGAGCCTATAAATTGGAGCACAGAGCTATTCAAGCTACTTTGTGTCCTGATAAATAATACCTTTATTTCCTTTATAATGATAGATTTATTAACTGAGTATTTCCAAATTACTAAAAAGTAGTAAGATTTTACTATAAGAGATGAGATGCTACCTTTTACAATACAAAGAACTGTTAAGTATTAAGACCACTATGCTCATTTTAAATAGTAACAATAGCTCTCAAAAAGTATTTAATTCTCTCATACCTGAGGTAGAAACTGGCAAAGATTGCCCACTTGAATATTTAAGGCTGCAACTTGCTCTTCTACTATTTTTTGGGATGTAGATCTTTTGTTGATGAACCAAAAGGACTGATTTTTTGCCACATCAATCTCACGAGTGATTACAAGATTTCCAGAAGTCCTGAACCTATTTAAAAATTAGAAATCTTTATATTCAAAATATGTAATTTTAGAAATTAAATTTCTAAAATTCTCTTGCACCAAAGGTTTCCACATATGACTATTATTATAATTTTTATTCCTTTTAACATTATAGCCCCTCCTAAGAAGGAAAGCCTGGCATTTTATTAGTGGTAATAAATAACTGACCACAAATAAGTTACTTCTTTCAACATCTGAAATCATTTAAACCGCTAACATAAAATTAAAACACACTGATATTAACTCCCAAACATTGCCTGAGGATTCACATATCTGGAGTTATTTATCCTTTAATTATTATGCTATTCTCTAACCACATGTGCTCACTACAATTCAAACTGGGTTGATATATGAAAGCATAAAGAGTTCAACCTTGAAACTCTCTCTACTTGGAAAATGTACAAATGAAAACCAACTACTGTGTATGTATTTCCAGGTATCAATTGGAAATGCATAGAGGTGGCCCATGGCTTCCTCATCTTATACTCCACCACTCTGAATTCAGAAGAAACTGTATCACATGACTATAAAGGAACACTGAACAAAAGAAAACTCATCTGAAAGAAGGGTATTTATTTTTTGCTTTTAGAAGCACTACTGCACCACACCTCCTACCTATTCATCCATCTTCTTCACTGGCAATCAGCAGCATGTGGCATAAAGATAACTTATTGGTATCCAATGGCAAAATGACAATGTAAGTATTGTATAATTATGTAGATTACACTGTAATCAGAACACTCCAAACAGTAAGATTTTAGGATGTTCAACAAGGTATTTTAAACTTTCATTTCCAGGAGCATAACTAACAAAGTATTTTCTGATTCTCTTACTGAAAAACTACTAAAAAAAAATTAGTAAAATATCAATGTATTTATAGGTTAGCATGAAAGAAAGGAATTCTGGCCAAAATACCAGTGCAGATGGGAAACCATCAGTGGAAAAATGAAATTGCCTTTCATTCTGAGGGCATTTGGCCAACCAGGTAACCTGGTGTATTTATTTTTATGATCCCGAGAGAGGGGTGTTGAGGACAAAGCCCAGAGTTCTCCAAGATAGACAGTCTAACAGAAACCATCCCAAGGATCTGATCAAGAAGGCAGAGGAGAAGGACATGGGGACCACCTTCTCTGATAAATACATCAAAAATACATCTACATGCAGAATTATTTACATAGAACATCTACTGAACATTGGAAGAAGACTTCAGACTTTCTAAAGGGCAAGAAAATCTTCATGTAACTAAGTAGGACAAAAGAAGAAAGGAAAAAGAGAGAGCGAGAGGAACTGGGATGGAACCCGAGTCCCTGGGAGCAAGCTGTGAAAGAGTAAAGGTTTCTGCACATTGTGAAGTTCCCTCTTTGGTGGTGAGATCAACTGGGACAAAAAGGTAGCTTTGGAGCCTCAGAGCGGGTGCAGCAACAGGCTTGCAAGGGCAAAGTGGAAAGACACCTTCAGACAGTAGGTGCCACCTGGCAGATCCCAGCCTGAGACACTCATCTGCTGAGGCAGGTGGAGCGAGCCTTGGGCTTTGGAGGTTAGACCGCAGGAGAGGACCAGGGCTGGCCGTGTAGAGACGACCTGAGGTGGGTAGGGTGTGGTGCACCACAACAGAGCGAGTATGGGAAGAAGCCTGGGGCTGATAGAGAGGCAAGGCACCATTGTTGGTGGCAGGACCATCAAAAAAACTTCCTTCTCTGAGTTCATGCTCAGGCAGCAGAGCACTGCCTACATGGGCATAGGCTACCATGATCATCTTGGACTCCAGAGATGGGCATGGGCTGCTGTTGCTCAGGATCCTGTGAGAGGTGGCTGGTCGTGGCCCCCACTTCCTGGGAGCATGTGTGGGCAGCACACCTGCACACTGCCTACCAGTATTCAGTACACACTAAGGAAAGATATGATAGGCATCCAAACCAAAAGCAGCCCTCACATGAAAAAAAATTAAAACCACACAAGCTATGCAAGGACGCCCCCACATATTAATAGCCCTGCAAGAGAGGAGAGTGAAAAAGTTGGCTTAAAACTCAACATTCAAAAAACTAAAATCGTGGAATCCAGTCCCACCACTTCATGGCAAATAGATGGGGAAACAATGGAAACAGTGACAGACTTTATTTTGGGGGGCTCCAAAATCACCGCAAATGGTGACTGCAGCCATGAAATTAAAAGATGCTTGCTGCTTGGAAGGAAAACTATGCCCAACCTAAACAGCACATTAAAAAGAAGAAATATTACTTTGCCAACAAAGGTCTGTCTAGCCAAGGCTATGGTTTTTCCAGTGGTCATGTACTGGATGTGAAAGCTGGACTACAAAGATACCTGAGTGCCAAAGAACTGATGCTTTTGAACTGTGGTGTTGGAGAAGATTCTTGAGAGTCCCTTGGACAGCAAAGAGATCTGACCAGTCCATCCTAAAGGAAATCAGTCCTGAATATCCATTGGAAGGACTGATGCTGAAGCTGAAACTTCAATACTTTGGCCACATGATGTGAAGAACTGACTCACTGGAAAAGACCCTGATGCTGGGAAGATTGAAGGCAGGAAGAGAAGGACGACAGAGGATGAGATGGTTGGATGGCATCATTGACTCAATGGACATGAGTTTGAGTAAACTTCGGGAGTTGGTGATAGACAGGGAAGCCTGTCGTGCTACAGTCCATGGGGTCACAAAGAGTCGGACATGACTGAGTGACTGAACTGAACTGAACCAACAGAAATGCAAACTATTGTAAAAAGGAACTAAAAACTCTAAGGAAGAGTCAAGAAAAATTAGAAAATTAATTTGCTGAGACAAAGGCTAAACTACAGGCAATGCATAACAAGAATGAATAATGCTGAAGAGAGAATAAGTGATCAAGAAGAAAGAATAATGGAAACAATCTGGTCGAAACAGCCAACAGCTAAGAAAAAAAAAAAAAAGCAATATGAGACCTATGGAACAATATAAAGTATGCCAATCTACACATAACAGGGATTCCAAAAGGAGAAGAAAGAGAAAAGAGGATTGAAAATTTATTTGAAGAAACTATGGCTAAAAACTTCCCAAACTTAAAGGTGGAAACAAATACCCAGATACAGGAAACACACAGGGTTCCAAACAAGATGAACCCAAACAGACCTACACCAAGACATATTATTTTAAAAATGGCAAAAGTTAAAGAGATGATTCTTAAGGCGGCAAGAGAAAAACAAAGAGTTAATGACAAGGGAACTCCCATAATACTATCAGCTGATTTCTCTACAGAAATGTTACAGCCCAGAAAGAAGTGGCAAAATATATTCAAAGTCTCAAAAGGGAAAACTCTGCAACCTGGAATACTCTAACCAGTAAGATAACCATTTAGAATAGGAGTAGAGATAAAAAAATTTCTCAGACAAGCAAAAACTAAAAGAATACAGCAATACTAAACCTATCCTAAAAAAAATATTGAAACATCTTCTCTAAATAGAAAAGAAGTAAATAGATATAGGTAGGAGGAAATCACAATGGAAAAGGAAACCACTTAAGCCAGCGTACATACAGATTAAAAAAAAAAACCAACCTATATGTGAAAGCAATGATAAACATAATGAATAGCAAAAGGATAAACATGAAGATATAAAAAAGATATAAAATAAAATGTGTGAAAGAAGACTAAGAGAATGTAGATACTTTTTTTCTAAGAATGTTCACCTATGTGACTATTAAAGCAAGCAGATGTAGGAAAGAGTTAACATACTTGAAAAAGAGAGCAACGACAAATTAAAAACATATAAAAATTCAGAGAGAACGTAAGCATAAAATTCATCAAACCAGAGACAGGAAAAAAGAAGAAATATAGTCAACTGGAAAACAAGGTTTAAAATGGCAGTAAATACTTACGTATCAACAACTACCTTAAATGACAGTGGACTGAATACTCCTATCAAAAGACAGAGTAAAAGACAGGATAAAAGAAAAAAAGAGCCTCCCATGTTAGGATGAAGGACACACAGACTGAAAGTGAGGGGATGGAAAACGGTATTTCATGCAAACAGAAATGACAAGAAGGCAGGAGTCACAATACTCATATCAAACAAAATAGACTTTAACAAAAGCTATAAAAAAGATTAAAAAGGACACCATATGATGCTAAAAGGATCAATACAAGATGAGGATTTTACACTCGTTAACATATATACACCCAATATAGGAGCACCCAGATATATAAGACAAATACTAACATGACACAAAGGCAGAAGCTGATAAGGATACAACAGGAAGAGACTTTAATACCTCGTTCACATCAGGGGATACATCCTCTAGAAAGAAAACCAACAAGGCAACAGAGATCTCATATGATGCAATAAAACAGATTCAAGTGATATTTTCAGGACACTGCATGCAAAAAAACCCAGGATACACATTCTATTCAACTGCACATGAAACATTCTTTCAGCTCAGTTCAGTCGCTCAGTCGTGTTGGACTCTTTGCGACCCCACGAACTGCAGCACACCAGGCCTCCCTGTCCATCACCAACTCCTGGAGTTTACCCAAACTCATGACCATTGAGTTGGTAATGCCATCTAACCATCTCATCTTCTGTCGTCCCCTTCTCCTCCTGCCTTCAATCTTTCCCAACATCAGGGTCTTTTCAAATGAGTCAGTTCGCATCACGTGGCCAAACTATTGGAGTTTCAGCTTCAACATCAGTCCTTCCAATGAACACCCAGGACTCATTTCCTTTAGGATGGACTGGTTAGGAATGACCACATACTAGGGCACAAAATTAGCCCCAACAGATTTAAGAATACAGAAATTATTTCAAGGATCTTCTCTGACCACAAAGGCATGAAACTAGAAATTAACCACAGGAAAAGAAATGAGAAAAAAACAATTACATGGAGACTAAACAACATGTTACTAAAAAAACCAATGGATCAAAGTGAAAGTCGCTCAGTTGTGTCAGACTCTTTCAACCCCACAGACTACACGGTCCATGGAATTCTCCAGGCCAGAATAC